AGCAGAATTTTGGTGGTACATAGGCCAGTCTGTCTCGGAGCCGGTCCAGTCGTTGAGCTGTCATCCCATAAAAATTCCTTAATGAGGCTCTGATCGAGGCTGTTTCTGAAAGGTGACGTCGGTGGGATAAAGGATCATGCTGAGAGCGCGTGCTTGATTTGCTGGCTTGTATCTAATGTTGCGCCGGTGCGAACTGAGCTGCTATTTTGGTTTGATACCAGCCGCACTCAAGTCGAATGCTTTCGGAATGTTTGAGTCCAACTTGCATCTGAAGCCATTCAGATTTGAGTTTGAGTCCGGGATGAACTCTCCGCACTCCAGTAGAATGCATGGGAATGTTGAGTCCAACTTCCATCTGGAGCCATTCAGATTTGAATTTGAATTCGGGATGAAATCCGTTATTTATTCAAATTGATGAGCTAGAGTGACTCCAATTTATGTGTAAAAGGAATCGATTTGTCAATGCGAAGCCTTGCGCTTGGAGCCGACTCCAGCCCCGAGGTGCCGAGCTTATTCGCACTAGATTTCTCCCAGAGCAGATCAATGTGATAACTTCAGTGAATGCATCTCAATCACCAACACCGCAACAAATTGTTCCAGAGCCTGTCTCAGAAGAATCGATAGTTTTGCGGTGCAAGTCTTGCATACAACGCGTTGAACTGTGCTCAAACGCCTACCAACCAGCACCCAAAGTCGAGAGAAACCTATCGACGAGGCAGTCTTGTAAGGCTGTGGTGTTGTGCTGCCGACGTGTGCCGGTGTATTGCTGACATGGGTGGGGTCGTCGGCAGCTGCCGCTGCAGGTGCGCCTGGTGGGCGGCACCAATAGTTCGGGACGGGTGGAGCTGCGCTACAAGGGCGTCTGGGGCACTGCCTGTGATGACGACTTCGACTCGGAGGATGCTCAGGTAATAAGCGTTACATGAGTGTCTGAGGCACTGCCCGTGATGACAATTTCGACTCAGAGGATGCTCAGGTAAGAGGCGTTACATGAGCGTTTGGGGCACCGTCTGTGATGAAGACTTCGACTCAGAGGATGCTCAGGTAAGAGGCGTTACATGAGCGTCTGGGGCACTGCCTGTGATGACGACTTCGACTCATAGGACGCACAGGTGAGGAGCGAATGGGCGACAATGCGCGTTTGGCGTCTGACTACTTCATGACACTGTCGTGTTTTTTGTCCGTCGAGGCGCAATGTAGTGCTTCAATGGTGGGGGTGGGGGCAACATTCACTTTTTGGCTATTTCTTCCAGACAACGCGCATGATGCCAGTGCTAAACGTTTAGAGAGATAGAAAGTGCTCAGCCCTCCCCTCCGAGCCCCATCCTCCTGGTGCCAGCGCCGCTGCCTCTGCTCTGTCATATCTCCGTGCGCCAGGCGGCGTTTGGTTAGTGACGACTCGTCCGCACGTGTCTGACGACTGACCGCCGGTCCCCCGGACGCGCAGGTGCTCTGCAGGATGCTTGGCTTCGAGGGGGCGGCCGTTGTGCACCAGAACGCCAAGTTTGGACCGGGTACCGGCCAGATCTGGCTCGACCAGGTCAACTGCAAGGGAACAGAGAAGAGTGTCGATGAGTGAGTTCTCGTTTAACAGCCGGGGCTAGGCCCGGCGCCGGACAAGGCTTAGTGGGGTAGATCTGATTGACCGACGGGTAGTACACGTGAAACCTCTTCCTTTTTTTGCTTGTACATGTCACGTCCTTTCTTACATCAATTCTTTTGATTGTGTTCACGGATGTGTCAGTATAGCATCGAGACCCGGCAATGGCCGCGGGCACACGATTCTGGCAGCATAAATGAACGTCATGGCGGTCCATGAAGTGTGCAAAAGATTCATGGATGGACGTTTGCTATTGCAAGAATGTTGTTTCCTGACAGCTTAAGCGACCAGTTAGTGCCAGATATTTTGAATGACCTTTAAATTTTAGAATTCGCTCCGCAAAGTTACAAGCTAATATCGATCACTACATGTATCTCAACGATGGCCTGCGACTGGTAGGTGCTACCATCTGCCCTGGGGTCAGAGTAACTGCGCTCACGAGGAAGACGTGGGCATCAGCTGCCACGCCAGTCCTACCTCCACCAATAAGGTACTGGCCGGGCGCGGCCGCATGCCAACAGCCCCGGAGCGGGCCCGCAGCGCTGTGCGCAACGGCGCTAGTGCAGACTTATAACTGGGATACTCTTTGGCCCCTGCTTTTATTGCGCTAGATAGGCATTCACTGATAATGTACTACGGAATAGTGCAAATTGTCCACTTTTAAGTGATGCTCAGGCTCTCCCTCAAACAATGTCTGCCCTAGACCAGGATGATTCGTGAATAATGACGGGACACAATGTTGTTGACTGGAAATGCGGTTTGTTTACGAGTTGCTCTCGTGTCTTTTTCCGTGATGACATGAGGTGGACAATGACGTGATGGCGACGTGGTAGACAACGGCTAAGCATGCCCATACGAGTAAACATCTGTGGTGATCAATGCCGTGTAAAATTTCACATTTACATGTCGCTAGAACTTTTCATTCTTGCACAAGTCTCCAACAATTTTTGTTGTTAGCCGCTTGGCTAAAGGCGGCGCGTTGCGGCAGCGTTATTAACCAGCATTGCTCGGCGTTCCCACAAGGTGGCAAGACCGACTGACCGTCCTGTGCTGAACAATACGCTGCCGGCGTGGTGCGGCCGGCGAGTTGTCCCAGACACGCCGATCGTACCTCTGGACCAGAACCCGAAGATCGTCTCCGGGAAGACAACCGAGCCCGGCTCCCCCCGTGGATTGGTGAGTCAACACCGCATCATCCAGACGGTGTCAGGGTCAGGGTCAACGCCGCCTGACCCAAGGACGCTACTGTGCAGTTCGGCCGGCGGCCCGGCACCAGTTACCCTACGTCACGGAAGTATGGCTTCCAGAACAGGATAGATAATCAACTGTCCAATGCTTCAGCTACAAGATGTGGCACTCCCATACTTCGCATATTTTCTTACCCCTCTCGCGTATGAAAGCAACATGAAACCCTTCAAGCCCCCAAACTAGCCAGTGAAACCTGGCTCCCTAAATCAAGGCATGGTCACTAACCCGCGTGAATCGTGCTCAGAATCTAATCTCAGTGCACACAGACGCCGGACAACGAAGCACACATGTCCACGGGTGCCGTTCCCAGCGCCCCTCGCACAGCGCCAGTTGGTCGTGGACAGCATGCTGAAGCATGTAGGACCGCGGGGAAGGGCTTAGTAGTGCGCCAAAACCCATCATCCGACCGTGACAGGACTCGAACCTGCAGTCTTCTGATCCGAAGTCAGACGCCTTATCCATTAGGCCACACGGTCACGGCGGTTCCACGGCTTGGCGATGAAAACTCTCAACCAGCGCAACGGTGGTCGATACCGCTTCGCGCGCGGCAGCAACCTGTGGCCGCCGTTGTCATGGAAACTGCTCCGTTCGCGTCTCTACGATTCTCTCTCCTCATGACCCACACATCTGCCAGCTGACGCTTAGCACTGACAGCCAGCCATACGATGGACGGGTGGGCTGTTCGGAGTCCTTGGATCTCAGTCACGGCGACGGTTCGGCTTCGGTTCCCCCGCACAGGAAGATCGAAGCCGGCGGGGAATCATGGTGGTACTGTGATGTTGCGCGAGGCCGCGGCACACTCAAGTCGTGCTTGAGATATGAGGACATATTTTTCTTGAGCTGATCGGCTAGGCCTTGGCGATGCCTATTACTTGAATTCGTTGCAACCGCTTCTGACGGATTCGCGCAGTTTTCAGCAACAGGTGTGGTACGTTAAACTTGTGCAGGGTAACTTGTTAGGCGTTTGCATACGGACCATTCGACCTAGCTGTTTCTCCAACAGCGTATTGCCAAAAGGTGGGCCAGCATACACGGACCACACATCAGTAACATGCTTAAACCATGGGTCCGTCCGTTTGGGGGTGTGTTTTAAGAACTGACGTCACATCACAGCTGTCAGATTAGGCGAAGGCATTCAACCAGCTGTGGGGACGAATGCATCGACTACAACTCGCCGCCAGATCTAAAGCTGTCAGATACAACCGCACCTGATCTGCGGTACTATATTCCCTCATCAAGCACTTTAGGTGCCGAGCAGAACGACCCATCCATCCCTCATTATCCAGTTGGCGGTCCGTGACTATATGACGGACGTGATCTCGTACCCCGCCATCGTGAGCGCGTGTGACGCCGCCGTGAGCTCGTGCTGTGCCGACATCAGTGCGTGTGCCGCCGCCGCAGGTGGGGGTGCGGATCAGAGCCGGCGCCGAGACGGCGCACTGGTGCGGCGCCGTGATCGTCTCCGAGTATCACATCATCTCGGCCGCCCACTGCCTACTCGACTACCCGCAGCAGGTGTACGTGCTCCGCGTCGGAGACTATGACAACCAGGTGAGGTGCTGCGCGCCAGACTGATGGGAGACTTCGACAACCAGGTGGGGCGCTGCGCCAGACTGCTCAGCCGCTGCGCCAGACTAATGGGAGACTTCGACAACCAGGTGAGGCGCTGCGCCAGACTGATGGGAGACTTCGACAACTAGGTGAGGCGCTGCGCCAAACTGCTCAGGCTGCGTGAGACTGACCGGAGACTTCGACAACCAGGTGAGGAGCTGCGCCAGACTGGTCAGAGACTTCGAGAACCAGGTGAGGCGCTGCGCCAGACTGCTCAGCCGCTGCGCCAGACTGATCGGAGACTTCGACAACCAGGTAAGGCGCCGCATGGAACTGATCCGAGACAACCAGGCGAGGCGCTGGACCGATTGGGTATGAACTGCGCACGGACTAACACAACCAGTTGAGACTGAGGGGCTGTAGGTTGATGAAAGACGTCACTGATTGGCTGAGTCGCGGCGGGCCTGAACCAGGAACCACGACAACCGGTGTGAGAGTATTGGGCGTCGGTCGGAGTAGGGACTGAAGCAGCGCTCTGAAGTGATCCTGTGACGAAGCACGGAGATAGCCAGTGAGTTTTTGCGTGGTTCAGTTGTGAACCGACGGCTGCTAGACCAGGTGACGTACGTTAAACCAGGAATTCTACCCAGCACCACGCGAAAGCCCGGTTAGGCCATGGTAGGATCAGCACGACCCAGGGCCGTGCTGGTCCTACCATGCTGCCAGCACAAATGAAGACGGCAGCACAAATGTGAAAGCACAAAAGAAGGCGGGCACAGTAATGTCTGAAGAGCCGAGAAACGGTACGGGGACCGTTCTTATCTATTGGGCTGTAAACATGTGTTTATAAAGTGGTCATTTATCAAGGTAGCTTTGCTACACCACCTTTCACATTCGGCAGGATGCTGCATTTCTCGGGTCAATGACTTTCTGTTGAGTCTGCTTTGTTCAGGCGTGCAACTTTGTATTTTTCACTGGATGATGAGTGGTTTGGGGTGGCCGTGAATGGACGGATGTTAGCTATGCTTTATGGAGCTACTAATGTCTCATTTTTCGCATCTCAGGTTGAAGATTCGGGAGGAGGAAGAGTTCACCATCGAGAGAATGTATCCTCATCCGGAATTCAACAAGGGCACCTACCTGAGCAATGATATTGTCATCATCAGGGTCAAGGTAATGCAAGCGATTATGCGGGGTACACATAAGTTATAAAGCACTTTGTAAACACTTCGGTGCCGCTTTGAAGAACATTGTGAACACTGTCATGCTTCTTACAGGGATGTCAAATTTTGTCTGTAGGCTGCATTTTGGCTGTAGGCTGCAGCATAAGGTGTCTTTATACGGTGTTGTGCTCTTGCATCCTGCTGAATTTTCCGCAACATTCTCAAGCTCACAGCTCTGCTGGTTGTTACTGATTTTCATTTTTTCTGGAGTGTCGTAGCGGGCTGCACCATGCCGGCTGCAGCAGCCCTGCTCGGGTTCTGCGTTGTGACGCTTAGGCCAGTTGATTCATGCAGAGTGGGTGGCTGTTTGCTTGGCCGTCGTCATGACAATCTTACTTCTGCAATTGGGTGATAAAACTAGCATACGTTTATACTACAGTGAAGGCGGGATCATTGTTGTCAGTGGTGTCATGACATCTGCGCGGGTCTGCCTCACGTCACACAACCGTCATGACATCACTGCCCCTGTCACACCCTCTGTGACGTCATTGGTGCCCGTGTGCCGCAGTCAATCCCGGGCGGGGCATCCGGTTCGGTGCGATGGTGCAGCCCGTCTGCCTGTCTCCGGCAACACTGGCTTACAAGCCGCGGGAAGAAGTGCACCATTGCTGGCTGGGGTAGCACCGGTCGACGAGCAGGTCAGGCAGCGACGCAGGGCCGAGGAACCCTGTGGGGAGGTCGCTGGCATTATGACACAATGTGGTCCGGCCGCTTCCCACCGTGCTACTTCCGGTTGTTCCTAGTTTTCTTTACGTTTAGCTCTTTTTTCTTCCTAGATTATTCCCAATTTCCTAATGGATATTACGTATAGATGTTTTAGCATGTTCTCTATTTCAGCGTTCGATGCAAAGCAAGTTATAGGGATAATTTTTACTGCTTTCCAAACTTGGAGGGACCGGGAACGGAACCAGCAAAAAGGTCATGTCTTGCTTCGCGCTGATTGGCTGCGTGCGTAGCCCCACGAATGGGCTGACACTGCATGCCAATTCATAGGAGAGCAAGCAGACCATTGCTTTGAATCTTGCCGACAATCTCAATGCCCAGTTCACTATTCACGCCACGCAGCACTTAGTGGCGAGCAGAACCTCATTCCAGAGCGGAGCCATGGACCCGGTCAAGCGTGCGTTCCGTTCTGCTGACCGCTCCGCGTCGTTGCCAGGTTACGCCCGGCGTCTGCAGTCAGTGGTGTTGCCGCTCCTGCCCATCAGTACCTGCACGGCACCATACGTGTAATGAGAGAGCGCAAAATCACCGATGGCATGTACTGCGCCGGATACCTAGAAGGAGGCATCACGTGCCAAGGAGACAGCGGTGGGCCCATGGTGTGTCAGCACGAGGGTGAGTTCACAACGGCCGGCTTATGGGTGTGCCAACGCGGGGTGAGTTTGCGCAGAGAATTTCCAGCTCGATGACTTTACCGACACTACGCATTGCTGTTCCCGGATCGTTGAAGCTCTAGTGTATCACAGGTGTTAGGTGGCTGCTGTGGTCTCGCTCTTGCAGCTGAGAGCTGCGCGTCTCCGGGCCGGTTTGCCTCCTGGGTGGCCACTTGCCAGCCTGCCTTGGTGACTGGTGCCTTTGTGACTGGTGAATGGTGACTCCTGACTGATGACTGGGGACTGATGACTGATGACTGCTGACGGCGACTGATGAATGGTGACTGATGACTGATGGCTGATGGCTGATGTCTTGTGACTGGTGACTGGTGACTGGTGGCCGATGATTGGTGACTAGTGACTGGTACTGATGACTGGATCTGGTGCTCGTGGTGGCTGGTCTCATGACTGATGTCTGGTGGACTGGTGACTGGTGCCCCGTACCTGGTGGTAGGACTGATGCCGTGACTGGTCCCTGGTGCCTGGTGCCTGGTGCCTGACTAGTGTTGTGCCGCGCCCCTCTCACCGCGGTTTTCTGCCGCATCCGCAGGCGTGAGCGGCTGTAGGGGTCACCAGCTGGGGTCAGGGCTGCGCCAGGGCTAAAAGCCGGGCGCTACACCAAGACTCACCGAATACCTCAACTGGATCTACAGCACGATCGAGGAGGATCGCATCCGTAGAGGAGGGTCATACTATGTTGCGCGGGCGAGGAGGCATGGGAGTAGTAATTCTGCTGACGCTTTGACAGTTGACTACAGTTTTCGTGTTGTGCTCGTGTGATGGCTTACATTGATATGAACTGTGACACACACGCGAGTGTGAATTATGTGCTGCCCAGGGCTGGTTTATCAGCAGAGCCATGGGCGGCATTGCACATCCAAGGATGTCGCCTCTGTTCAGTCGCTATTAAGAAGCGGGGAGGAGGGAGGGGTCAGCCCCCAACTCTGGTAAAAAAGCGGGCAAAATTCGGGGAAGCACCTTTTAAGCCCCCTCCCCCAATTTATTTTGCGGAACTACGCCCCTGTTGGCAGCCTGACCTCAACAGATTAGGCGGAACGACTGGAAGCCCATTCTTTCGATGGACAAATATATTCCTGCGGCTACAACTAAATTGTAATGCGACGAAATACAGCTAGAAACGTCTACAACGTGGAGATTGTATTATTGGGCCAGCGTTGACCATGGTCGTGTGTTTCTGCGATGTGCTGCGGTGTTCTAAGCACTAGTCCCGTTGCGCCGGGCTGAGCCGCATGCGGAGGCGGCGCTGAAGTTTTGTCAAGTTATGTTAAGGCGTTAGGAGTTTTTAGACTCGAGCTTATTCAGAGAATGGTTTCAAAACCATCAGTGCTCGTTTCAAACCACGTGAAGAACCTGAAGGTGGTAGAAGTAGGACGTGCGCCACTCATTTTGACATGCTGCGATACGTGTGTAATCTGCGTAGAAACTTGAAGTGCATACATCCTGAGGGGTAACTTTCGAAGCTAAGTGTCAGGTTAGGATGTGTCACAATATGTAAGTGCGCTATATCTGTTGTCGTCACTTTGGCAACAATAAATGTTGGTCACCACCATACCCACATGGCACGGCATGTTTTCCTCTTCTTTTTCTTCCACTGGCAGCTCAACAGCGACAGAATCTAAGGCGCCAGAGACAGCGGAATGGGCACCACATCTATGTGTTGTAGATAGCTGCAGATGCCCAAATACATTATTGCGCACGTAACGACCCTTCAAACACGTTAACTGCGTCGATCTCCTGTCAACTGCCAATCAAATGCTTGTTAACTCACACATTTTTCGCCAAGTAAGTGGAAAAACGCATTTGTATAGCGCTTGGCTGTATGCTGAAAGGGATTTGTCAAGAATCACTGGAAATTATCGGAATCGGAATTACATATTCCATTTCCAAAGGCACGCATAAAACATCCAAGCGACGAATAGAGGACATGTTACAGCTAGCTATAGCCAGTTAGGTATAGCAGTTACGTAAACCAAATTATGTTTGATCGTCAAGTTATACAAGGTCTAAATAGGTAGCTGACATTTTTTGGGAGCACAAGATTCAAGCGGTAAAACACGTGCTGAATAGTAAGATATACCATCTATACTAATGGCAACGGTCGTCCCTATATAAGATGAAGGGTGACTGAGAAGTTTTTTTTGTTGTTGACTTCCGGTGATTTCGGTCGTGACAGCTTCCAGAACATGGAACTTCCTCCCGTGATGATGATGTTATGATGGGGGTATTTCTGGTGAGGTCATCTCGGGTGATGCTCCGGCCGCGTTCTTTTATCATGTCCTCTTTTGGAGCACCGTCATCAGAGTGTATCCTCAGCCGCCTTGATAGCGTGGTGCTGCAGGCCATTAGAGAAAGTGGCGAGATCACAGGAAAAAGAGCCGACAAAACATCCTTGCACGTAATTATCGACAAGTCTGATTAGCATACAAAATCAACGAAATGTTTTCAGATGACGCCAAGTCTGAACCTTTCAAGCGAGACCCTGCGTCCAGCTTGAAAACTAAAGGAGACATACTGATCAAACTGCGCCGGTTGCTGTCTATTTCCTGAAGATTATCGGAGAATGCCAGCCCAGCTACGCCTAAGCTATTCTTTCTGCTATTTCAGCCTATGTCTAGCTAATTCTGACAATGTCAGAATTCACAAAACAGAAAATCTGTTGCGCCCGATTATTTCACATTGCTCACTCCAACTACCAACCGGCCATGCAACTCAACTAAAAAAAAGAAAAACTTAGAAAAAAGGAAGAACTTTCGTGCAAAACTTAAAGCCAATCACTATGCTTGCTCCCGTATCTATTGACAAAGTGAGCAAACGCATGGTTTGCTGTGGCTTTCTCTTGTAACTGAAAAGTGGATAACGCAATTGACTGACTGATGTGTAATGATCCCTGTCCGTAGCCAACATGGCCGCCAGTGTCATAACATTCATCACCACGGTACTTCGGAAAGTGGAAATTCGGCTATAATAAATGTTTCAAAGATTCCTTGCACGCTTTGTCGTGGAATATGCAGTCATTTATAAATGCTGGTGGACCTGTCCATCACGCGCAAACTTGCGCCTTTACCTTGAGCGCAGCGTGCACTTAATAGTCACGTTTCGACACGATTTGCATCATTTAATAACAGCAGCAAAGCGTGCTCCAGCAGCGCGGCGTCATCAAAGATCGACAAGCGGCATTCATTTAGGCATGAACTAAGTATGAGTAGCTTTGTTTGTAGTTTGAAGTGGCTATATTACAACCTCCCAGGGCAATTGCCTCTGTTTTCTGTTCACTCTGGCGCTATGATAGCATATGATTGTGTGCAACGGGGTAAGAGCGTCATTATTCCCTCGTCTATTACGCGTAGGGAAACGGCCTTCGTCATTGGTGCAATCAAAACAAGTCTTCAGCATTGGGCTATTGAGCAGCCGACGACGGGTGTAAGGGCGAGTGGCTCCAGCACCTGCCGAGACCAGCGCTAGGTCCGACATAACGACGTAGGTCAGATTTGCGCCGAAATTTCACAAGGAACTGGGGCCAGCAAATAAAATCAGGCCATTGTTGACATGACAGCTTG